TACAATCCATCGCCCACCAATTCACATGTTCTCCCATGAAGCCAACATCAAAAATTCATCGCTTACATCCATCCATCCATCCATCCATCCATCCATCCATCCATCCATCCATCTATCTATCCATCTATCTATTCAATCCTTTAAAACATAAATATCACTCACCATCTAATGCATTCTACTTCCGTATATTTTACGTATATGCTAAATGCCGTACGAAATCTAAAGATCACTTTGCATAATATTATCATAATTACAAACATTTTCATGCTTCATCTTAATCCCCCAACACCACAAAACAAACACTAAACCATCAGCTAATCCCTATTAATCCACAACACTTCTATCATCCCATCCCAACACCTCAATTTCTTATCAGTCATATTGATGATAACTAGCTAACGAATTCAATGCTAATCAGATCTATAGCTACTCTTGTTTACCGCAAAACCTCCACTCGCATCGCATATCAAAAAACGTCAAAACATTCCACACCTCTAATTAATCACCCATTCACATACTCACTTAACTGCCATCCAAATATTCATCATCAATAACGACCAATTAATATAACTGTTATTTTAGACAGCATAGTTATTTATTGCTGCTTCCTTCTGCCGTCTCATTTATTGCCAAATAATAAGACCAGAGCCGACCGACCGACCGAATAAAATATTATAACACAGTATTACTATTTCATAGCTGTATGTATGCTGCATTTGTCTAATATATTCATAAGAACTCCTCACATAAAAGTAAGTAAGTAATCAAGTACCCATAAAGAGGCATACTCACCATATTCTATCCAACGCCATTTATCCACCTATAAAATTCACTTCTCTTCACACTTAAATTTAAATCTCACCGATCTACCGATCGATCCTAATCAGTCAAAATGCTTCCGATCTACCGATCGATCCGTTTCAAGCACAACTTTTCCCTCGACTGCAAGCGCAATTACTTATTCTTATTTACAATTTATCCGATTGCTATTCATTCATCCCGCTCGCAACCAACTCAACATTCCATTCGAAATCAACTCACGTACCACTCTCAATGTCCTCGTAACTAACTCCCCTCGAAAATTTATTATTGCGCACGCAACATCAAGTGAATACTAATGCAAAAGCAACAAACAACACACCAAAAAATATCACATCCTTCTTAAAATATCTAAACGATACGACAACAACCAGCCAAACATATGTTATACGATACAAGTGTTATGATATACGATATATTATATCATAGATATATGACTACTGATATGACTCTATTACTATGTTATATATTCACAAAATTTAACTCTATTCAAGAGCGATGTTGCATCCTCAAAATGAGCCAGCCTTACACCTACTAAATACCTTCTTGTTTCATTGTAAACTTGACTTGGTTATTTCAAAGGTAAGTAATAAATTCAACTGCAGCAGCACTATTATTCATAACGGATATTAATATTAAACCGATATTAAACTCTTGCATAATATCGATGGATTAATTTTATGGATGGATGGATAGATTGATGGATAGATAAAAAAGGAACATGGAAAATAGATGAGCAGTTGGTTGGTCACTTAAGAAAATCGAGTACATGAACATGACATGATTATGAGCAAGCAAATAAGCCTGATTATGAGCATTCACACAATTCACTCATTTACTTCCCTTTCATTCAAGCCAGCAGCAGCAGCATCATTAGCCTGCTGCTGCTGCTGCTGCCTTCAGTCATCGTAAAACTGCTCATTCGCCAGACCATCTATCTATCTATGATCGATGCTGTATGATGCGGCAGCATGTTCATAAGTCACTAATTATTATCCTTCTTTTATATTTATTTATTTGTCCAGAGTATCAATACATGCACACTTCATTTCAATAATCCTCATATCCACCTATTAATCCAGATTCTGTGCTGTTGAAAATCTCAGCTCACTGTTATACTTTATACACAGCTGCCTGCCTACATTTTTATGCTCATATGCCGCCTTATTTATAGACTGTTGCTGCCAGGTCAACAAACAAGAACATGAACATGCGATGACGACTGCTGATCAATGATATTTTCTGATTGCAATTGATTCAGGCCCGCTTGTCTTCGAATTATCCACTAGTCCACTTGTCATCGCCATCTATATCCATTCATCCATCCCCTTCCTGTATGCTCATCCTGCCATCCCATCCCCTTCCCTCCCCACCACTATCACTAACTAAGTACCAAACTGCACCCATCTATAATATATTCTACTCGCTCCAACTCTTAACTCAGTTTATTCCAACCCAAATAAAAACTCCTCACTCGCACTCCCACTATACGCCAATTATGATGTGCCAACCAGTCAACTATTCCTCAATCATCCAACTAAACATCCATCCATCTAATTATTTCCGTTCCGAGTGCAGCCCATCACTGACCATCGTCAGCTCATTTCATTTTTCTCTAATCCTAATTCTAAGTCCAGCCCCCATTTAAAATCAAAAAAGCAGCTTTCTAAGCCATTCACAAATCCAATTGCTATTGTAACCGTCGTCCGTCTCCTCCTTTTTAACTTCTCACTTTTCTTCTTCTATAAAACCACGAAACGCCGCCACCGCCGCCGTTACTCGCTCCTTATTATTCTCACTCATCTGACTATACTTTTACTATTCCATGTGCTTCCTCGTGCCTGACACCTTGAACACAAATATCATAATAATCTTATCTGTCAACTACATAAACAACTGTCAACTGAAAATACAATCACTGCTCTATTACTACTAGCACTAGAAGAAGTCTGTAAAATAATAAGACAAATGTCAAATGCAAATTGCTCCCCAACGGATATCCCAACGGATTAAACGCGACTCGAATCTGCACTTTAAAGAATGACATTCTCAAAAGTACAATCTGTCTCCAATCACTCAGCATATTCACATCTGTCAGTTATTGTCACGCAACATCCATCCATCTACGATGACAAGACAAGTACGATCCATAATGATCACATAATCCGTTTTCAAATCAATCACTTCAACGAATAATACTTTTCATTCTGTTCATCGCCTCATTAAACATGCTCCTACCTAACCGCTAGTGAATCCGACCGGTTGAATGTCACTTAATTAGTGAGCTGCTTCATTAGTTCGTCAACCAACCTCGCAAGCATATATTAATCGTGTCTAACCGCTCATCCGCCTAGTTTCAGTTTTAACGAGCTAAGAGTGAGCATTCAACAGCAGGCGTGCTCGTCGTCGTCACTTCGATGATGCATGCTCCTCACTAACTCACCAACTCATCTAATTATACAGCCTTGTTCCTTTCACAACTTAAACTCATTTATTCCATCTAGTACAACTTCCTTTTACTACTATCTATATGCATCATCCATTTTGCACTATCAAAAAACAAACAAACCAATCACCATATCCGAACAAGCAACGTGCTATGAATCAATCTCGTCTCCTCTTCACATCACACTAATCCAATTCGAGCACTTTCTCAAGTAGAACAAGCACTCTGCTGCTGCTGCTGCTTTCATAACTATTATTATATTACTATTATTATTATTATTATTATTATTATTATTACCATTCAAAACGATTACCATATATCATCACTACTGCTGCTTGTTTAAGGATTTATTTGCCTATCGAGCTCACATCAGTAAATTTCTCCTTCAACTACTCCACACGTTCATCATATTTTCGCACAATTCAATGAAAATATCTATCATCCAACTCACATCAGCCAGTCTTCCCTTCCGAAAATTGGTTCAATTTCTGATTTTCTCAAGTACTTATGTACCACTGTGTACTGACTGCTTACTTGTTCGTTTCGTTTCAAACATTCACTCGAGGCCACTTAAAGAGTAACACATCAAAGTCTCTTTTTTCATTCGACTCTCTGCACATCACAAACCAGCATCATTCTAATCCTCACATCACTTTTACCATCTTCACCTTATATGATTTTTATTATCAGTGGAATATCTATTATTATTAATATTATCATTATTATCATTATTATTATTATTATTACTATTATTTAACTAACTTCATCAATGTTCCTTAAATAAACTGTGCTCACTACATAAACTTAACTCAAAATCACACCACCATATATATAGAATGCTATTCTCTGAGCACGAATGAAAGAAATTACGTGCGGATATAACTATGATACTAAAAACTTATAATTATCCAATCCACTCACCAAAAATCTCCTCTCCACTCACATTTACATAATCATTCTACTCACCTATTAATTGCTTGTCAGAAATTCAACAAAGTCAGTCTATCATAAATTTCACATAGTCATTTCTAAATAGATAAAGATTTGATTTTATCGTATCAACATCAACTCTCTGGGGAGGTGCTTATCATCAATAATGACTTCGTCGTATCTCATTAGCTTCATTCATCCGTCCATGCATGCATTCAAATCCCATTAGAACAAGCACTTTTTGCCGTCATGAACACGATGTAAGGTGCTGCTGCATGCATGTTTGCAACTAATTAAACATCACCGTCATCCTCTATCTAGTACAAATAGCCATGAATCAAACATTTTTTAAACATTAAACATTATATCCAAGACGAGTGCGTGAGTATAATTTCAAATATTTCGCATCCATTATTTCACTACACACAACAAACTTCGTCTCTAAAGAATTCAATAACTGCTCCGTCTTCCTATAATACGATACTAATCCAGTAGTCACTGACTCTATTTCAAGGAAATGTAACACTTTGAAAGAAATCCTTTTATTTCAGCTTGATAGATGGCAAAAAGAGATTAAAAATTGAACATGTAAGAAATCAAACAAAAAAAACAACTTCTACACTGATAATGACCGCTTTCATGCATCAAATTTCCATTCTAACATGCAACAGCAGCATCAGCAGCATCAGCAGCAGCACAACATTCGAATAAGCATTTGCGACTGCTCTTTACACTTCACAGCATTCTCTCGTTAATTTTCAACTGAACTTTACAGACACACCACACTACTTTGTTTTTTGATTGTCTACTTGATCATAACCTGCTGCTGCTGCTGTTGCATTCTATTCAAGCAGCCAGCTAGCCATCCATCCAGCCAGCTAGCCATCCATCCAGCCAGCCAGCTAGCCATCCATCCAGCCAGCCAGCCAGCTAGCCATCCATCCATCCAGCCAGCTAGCCATCCATCCATCCATCCAGCCAGCCAGCTAGCCATCCATCCATTCAGCCAGCTAGCCATCCAGCCAGCTAGCCATCCAGCCAGCCAGCTAGCCATCCATCCAGCCAGCCAGCTAGCCATCCAGCCAGCCATCCAGCCAGTCCATCCAGCCAGTCAGTCCATGCATCATGCATCATTCATCTCATCAAATCATTTATACATATTCATATTAATCTCTACTTTTTGACTACTCAACTAGATGCACACACACACACACACACAAAAATGGCTTTACACGAATCGATCACTTAATAATATGCAACCCAATGATTATGTATGTGCTGCTGCTGCTGCAGCAGTAAGCTTTGACACCAGATACTCTTGTGCTTAGCAGTAGCAGTAGCAGTAGCAGCAGCAGCTGTCTCTGACTGCTAGTGATAATATCACGCCTTCTGTCAAACAAATCAAGCTACTAGATACATTCATCATTTATAAGCAACATCTTGTACTGTCTTTAGTCATTTCATTTTAACATTCATCTCATATTGTATAAACATTTACATTTACATCGCTACACTCAATTCAATTCCTCCTCATCATTTTATAAATTCCTTATAATTTTTTTTAAATTCCTTGAATTTTATAGATTCCTCATTTACATCGGTTCGGTTTATTGTCTACTGATTGAGTGCATTTTGTATTTTCATATGTCTACAATAAATTTATCCGGCACCATCCATATCTCTACCCTTCATCAGTTTTTTATCCACCTATTTATGTTCTTGAATCAATCCACTGTATCTGTCCTCTAGCCATACGACAATTCAAACCTCCTTAATGCATATCTCCACTCGTCTCATAAACAACCGTCATAATCTGCTCTAAAGTCACATAAACAACAACCAATATCACATTAAACTTTCATTCAGCTAATACCCCTCTTTGATTGATTAATACCTAAATGCTCCCTCGATTATAAATTAACGCACATAACAAACATTTCATTATTTCCACAAAACACCAACCAAACTATAAATATTTCAAAAACTCTCACACATTCACAAATATTCCTCTTAAATACTTCCCTTCCCATATTCCATCAAAACAACTTCAAAATATTCACTCATATCAATCATAACAACTATTTAGTCACCATAACAAGCACGTCAATCTTTCGCAATGCTTTTTCTCATGTCTCAATGCTGCATATCGCTTACAATTACTATATTACTCAAAATATAAAAATGTTACTGAAAAAAATGAATATTTAAATTTACTCCTCATAGTAATAATATTGATAACAATAATAATAAATAATAAAAGAATATCTACTTCTATTCCACTTCTATCATCATCATATTGAAATGAACGCACACCAATCAATCAAAAATTAATTTCAGATTTTTACATACGAACAAATAAGAAAATTTCTACTTAATTTCACGTAATTACAACACATCTATCTGCATGGATATATATACATACATGTATATTCATGGATCCAATTTTGTTATTGGGTTCATTTACTTAATAGGTTACTTACATTATTCGAATTAACTCAACTCGTTTTTGCTATCAATAGAGCACCAGAACACATTAAAGTAATCCTTTAATGGCGATTGTTCAGTACGTTTCAGTACGATTAGTTTCCTCATAGAATTTTGCTCTTATCGTTTCATAGCCTTATCGTTTCTGGATTGTATCAAACATCAGGAGTAATGCTGCTCTAGCAGCCGGCAATAGCTTCATGTTATTCACGATTATTCTATCATCTTCATTCTATCCAGGATCGCTTTCAATGAGCCTTTGTTCTCTGTGCAATATCCAGTATTATCCAAATTCAACGTTTAAAGAGTTCGTTCTGTTGTTTGCTTTTATGAACGCTTCTCAGCTAACCATTCGAACTGAATTCACGGAATTCAATTGTAAAGCGTTCGTTCGCTCTTTACATAACAAATCATATCGTCAACTCTTAGCACATGCTCGGCTCGTCAACTGTCTAATGTCGTCCTCTTTTTACATTACGAAGCTGCTCATTATGTATCAATCACATCACATCACATCAAATCTCCGAGCCGGCCACTGTTGCTGCTTGAAATGTCGCTTGTTCACTTCTTCAAAGGCAGCAGCAGCACTCGTCTTCATAAATTTTCCACTTAGAACAAGTCCGATGTCTGAGCGAAAGTGCGATGTTAATGCTGCCCTTAAGTCCGAATAGAACAACATCAGTAATGTCAGTTAATTGCACCCGATTAAACAAGCGAGTCATCGTATGCTGGCGATTTTTAGTGTTCCACGATTCAGTGTGTTCATGTTCACAAGTTGAATCCTTCCGTTCCTATTTGTTAATGTTGGCCTGTCTGAGCATCGTCATTTAGCGCTTCATTACACTCCTCTTCAGAATCAACTGAAGAGAATGCTGATCAACGCGCTGATCAATGTAACTTATAAGTATCCATTGGAATGCTCCAAAGCCCTTCGTATTTTACAAGCTCCTTCCTTTCATTGCACAATCAAGCAGCCAAGTCTTCCTCACCAACAATATCCACTCTTCGTTCATCTTCATTATCAAATCCGTATTTCTCACTGTACTCTTATTGCTGCTATATTCATAAACACTTCAGCAATTCATTCTGAGCAGCAATCCTCTAATCAATCTGCCATCCAATTTATTCAATCCCTTCATTCAAGTGCTGCTACTTGCTCTTTCCATCGTTTTTTCACTCGTCTTCCATCCGTCCATCGTTAAAAAATGACCACCATATCAACCAATCAACAACTATTAAAAAACCTCTAAATTATCGCCATTATCGCCCTAAAAACTCACACGTTCGCTCGCATCTCTTACAAGTCTCGAAACATATCATCACAAATTTAATCCAAATTTTATGCTACCACAAATACGTTTTTCTGTTCCGTGCATCATCAAATACTCACCATCTACTACAATTTTTTATTTTGCTAAATTTTACTAATTTACAGCAACGAGAACACAGAACAGTCAGTCTCTGCCTCAGTTGAAAGTGAGACGAACAAACTGAATTGTCACTCAAGCAAACGCAGTCACTCACTAAACGCCATCAACACACCCATCATCCATCCATCACTAAATTCACATGCAAACTCTTGCACACCTCTGATAATAATAACATTTCAACTTCTGAACACTTCAAATCAAAAAGCGCTTCTGCTCTAAGCAATATTCAATCCAGTGAGTGCAGTAAAGTCTTCCTGTTCGAACAACTTAATTACTTCTATTACTACTACTGTTATTACATCAACATTACTATTATTCTAACAGTGATTTATTTCATCATCGATAAAACCACTGAATAAATAAATCTGCCTGCTAAATCACTAAAAACCGACTGATTGAATACTCGGCATTATTCACATATGTACAGTACGGTGCTTGGCTTGAAGTGTGTTTTGTAACAGGCAAATCAACAGCAAATAAGGAAGACAGCAGCAGCAATAAGAAGACAATCAGTGCTTCATTCGACAACGATACAGGTTGCATTTTATTGATGATGACTTTGTTATTATGAATTTACAAAAATTTAATGTCAATTTTTGATTCTTTTGTAAGTAATCGTCGAAAATATCGGATCGTATTTTAGTGTGATAAAATATTTTTAAATGTTTCGTTTTATTCTCATATCTGAAACGGGCTGCCTGCCGCCCAATGCGATCCGAAGCGAAAGTTTTCAAAAATTTTCTCGTCTGAAACGCAGAGACTAGAAAAGTATAATATATAGGAGAGAACAGAAATGAATAAACAATAGATGAAGTCCAAAGGGCACAATAACAATGGGTGGGACGATCCTAGATCTGACCTAAACCTCCTAATTTACAGTCCTCCCTGGCTCGAGGGCTACGCGGGTCGTCACGTGCCGTTTCACCCCTTTGCCCTACTCTGAAATAATGCAAACAGATACCCATCTCATGCATGCCCTTTGAGATGGAGACACCAAAAGACTATTATAAAGAATGTAAATAAAATTTTAATTTGAAAAATGGTCATCTTTTGGGATCTTAAACTTAAATTCAATCGCAAATTTGTTTATTTTGATTCATTACTAAAAGTGTCTTCGAACGATAACCGAAAAGTTTATTGTAAATAATTTTTAAATTGTTGAAATATCATTTCAATAATCTAAATCTCAGTCGAAACGAAGATGACCATAAAAATAAAATAAAACGCGCCGTGTCCTCATTGTCCTCCTCCTGGTGTGGGCCGACGATCGTATTGCCTTGAAACTGCTGAAACAACGGAAGGCAACACTGCCCAACTCAGTCGTTTCGAAGCATACACCGGAGGCTGCAGCCGGTCTATGCCCCGGCCCACTCACCGAATAAATCCGTTAGTGGGCCACCGTGAGCTTCGGCGGGATCATTATTTGGGAATATTCTATTAGAACCCTATCATGAAATGGTCACCACTTTTTTGATCAATTTTAATTAAAATATTCATATTAATTTCACACTGAATTTAAATAAGTTAGTGAACGAATAAAATCGATTTGGATCATTCAGAAAGTCGACGAAATTTTAAATTTCATTTTTTAATTTGAGAATCAAAACTTTTTAATTACTTAAGAAAATTCATTCCACGATAAAACGATCTGCAACTATCATTATTAAGATTATTATCATCAACAAATATCACGAATAATAAGAGTGGTGACTTTGTATTTTGTCTCATTAATATAAGATAAAGTAAAGCACTGACTTGGAGGATGGCCCACACCACAGCAAACTTTCCCTTCAGCGTTCCAGTCATTGACTGGCTGAGTTTTTCCATCCAAAATCCCTGAAATGAATTCGATTATTCAATGAAAAGTGAATCTTTCCAATAATTGACATTTATACTCACCTTCTACAATATTCGTTCCTTGAATAGCTGTCGATACCACTGACGAAGAATTCCATTCACCCACCACGCGGTTTCGTCCTCGGTTTCTTGACTTTGCACACGCCGTTACTTCCGTGAGTTGTAGAATCCTTACGGCATTCCAATTCTGTTGATTGAATACACTGGAACTGGTTGTCGTCCTTGGTCGTTCTCGTCTTGCACTGACCCGATACCGTGGGCGGTGATCGATCGCTCGGGTCGATGCGTTCGCTGAATGCAGAATATGATTGTATATATGCCACGATTCTGCTTTTTCATAATTGATTACGACTATTTGTCGTAATCAATTATGAAGTAGAATCGTGACATATATACAACACAACCCCTATCAAGCTATACACACCACCCAACCACCAACCCTCAACAACCCCGACCAATAACAACCGCTCACCAATACTCAACATTCGTAAATGAACAGTCGCCCTTAATCCACTATCCACATCACCCAACCACCAAATAAGATGATAGTAGCGATACATAGCACCCGATCACCCATGAACCAGCCCAACCCATCGACTAACCGCACACCACTACCCAAAATTCATAACTGAACAATCGCCTTTCGTATACATATCAACTACGAACCAACCAGACCAACCTCACACGACAATCACTGACTGATAAATGAATCACTCTCGACATATCGATACTCTTATACCCAATCATCAAAAAACATTTGATCAACAATACGATTGCGCGGCAAAACTGATCATTATTGTGGATTGCACTATCGCCTTATGTATTTAATCGAACGTATCGTCGTCAGTCAATATGACACTCACACTTCCAATACGAAAATTCACGTCAAAAAGAGAGAATCAAACAACGAGTGCGTAGCTGTTTAGCATTCGACAAATGTCAAGTCTTATTCAAGAGAAACAGAGAAACGAAAATAGAACAACGCACAAATGAAGAGAAATAAGTGTGAACGGAGAGCTAGGTAGGTGGTCACACAGCGAGATCGGATGAAACCTAAGCAAGGCGATTACTGTATTAAGAAGAAACAACGACTACCGTAGTCCAACAATAAGCAAAAATACTTCAGTAATAACAGTAATCTGTAATGTTGTATTTCAAGTTGGTAAAATCACAACGGCATTTCATTTGGGCGAACATTTTTTGCAGTGCTCTAACTAAGTAGTACACTCAAGTGCTAACGAAATGTCGTTTTGATTTTACCAACCTATAATACAAAATTACCCGCTAATCTACTATAAAATAGAATAAACACGATCGAAACAAAGCAAAACACACTGCAAACACTCAAGTTACACACTGTACCAAAAGCAAACACTAACTTAATTTCCAAAATTGCACGTAGAGGCGGCTCACTCTAGCGGCGGCATGGTCATTTCGCCACAACTTTTACTCACTGCTCTCTATCACCGCTGCAGCTGCCACTATTATTCACTGCATTAGTTCATGAATACTTTGAAGTAATACCTTAAAAACGATAAAATTTACTTCAGTTGATGTATACGATTATGCCGCAGCAATCCTAATACTACTACTAATCATAATATTACCTATAAGTGCACTAACTGTAATTTAAAACTATGTTAGTTACTAAACGATGAAAGTGCAAAGGTATAACAATGACAGTAATGAATTAAGCCTTCCAACAAGACACACGCAAATCATTAAATAGTCTGTCGTCTATTCATTAGAGTAGTAAACCTGGAAATTCATCTCAATTTGCCTTAGAAATTCAGCGTCGAATTGATGCAAAATCTTTTGCTGCTATTTCTCGCTTTGACTAAACTCACCCAACTGTAGCAGCAGCAGCCATGACCCGACCTATTCATGCCAGTTTCCCTCGGTTCACTTAATCCTTAATCAGCAGTCACAACTCTCACCGATATCACATCCTGTCCGCTGCTTTACTTTACCTCCTATGACGTTTATTCCGTAAAATTCTGATCGATTCATTTAATCACTGCTAACACCGAAAGTTTCAGTGAGCATATCGCTTGAATAATATCCGTTCCAGCTGTCAAATATACTCTTGTAACTGTTATAAACAGTAACATTACTTTAATAAAAGCATACCACAAGCAATAACTAACGATCACATCACTCGAATGCATGCGCGTTTATTATCGCTCTGATATTATTTATGTACATATACACCTACAAATACATACACATCTATACCGGTTTACTATTACAGAATGCAGTAAATACAGTAAAAATATCACGTACATAATATTCATTCGCATACAACGAAATGAAACGATTGTTTATTAGTTCACGAAGCAAAGCAATCTTCTTCTGAAACGTTTACCTGTCATCTCACAATCCATATATCTCTTCAAGTGACCGTTTCACTTGAAATTTTTGTATTCTCATTATCTGAAGCATCACTACAAAACGCCGTCACTGTTCTATCATACGGATTCGAAGCTGAACTCGTTGTGGATGCATATGAATGGTAGCTTGTTGCAGCAATAGGCTGCGATGCTGAACTACTATCAATATTTCTAAGCGTATTATCTTTACTGCTATTATTACTATTACTGTTTGTATTCTTGTTCACATTACCATCACCAGTAGCATTACTATCATTAACACTACTCATACCAATTGCAGCAGCTGCCGCTGCTGCTGCTGCTGCTGCAGTAGTTCCAGTATAATAGGCTTGAACCATCATGTGTGCAGCTGTAGTCGTGTTAGCTCCTATGGATGGTCGGCAAAATGCTGCCGCAGTAGCTGCTGCAGCAGAAGAAGAAGAAGAAGCTGATGAACCTGATGGAATGCTGAGTTGTGGCTCACTTGAAGGAAACGGTAGGAATACTGGTAAGGTTGTTGAGGCTGAGGCTGCTGATTCTGCTGATGCAGCAGATGCAGATGCAGATGCAGATGCAGGTGCAGGTGATGAGGAGTGCTGTGGAATGGTGAATACTGCTGAGAGAGTTGTTGTGGCCGATGCAGTTGGAGGAGTGCAACTCAAAGACGATGCAATTGGCACTGCAAGTGCCGTTGTAGGATGATGATGATGATTCGCTGAATGCATCATGCTATGATAGGATGGTGAAGGTAAGCAGCAGCTCATCAGATTACTACTCGGAGCGGATAAAGCTGCACTCGGAGTGCACTGACGACGAGACGACGGTGGAGTGCCGTTTGCACTGAGTCTCGTAACGTCATCAATACTTGCAAATGCAGCACATTCCTGATGTTGCTGTTGCTGCTGCTGCTGCTGCTGGTAATGATGAAGCAACAATTCGTGTGGAGATGCCGTTGGATAATAACCTAAATCAGTGGCAATGCTCATTCATGATCAATAATCTTGATAACCTCATGATCAATCAATAATCAATCAATAATCTCATCTTATCCAAATAAATCAATAATTTCACTTCTTCATTCGAATCTAAATCCAAAATATTTTCATCACCATTCAACACACCGTCAAATTCATACATTAAGTGAGCACAGCAGCAAATCGTTTAACAAATCACTGAATTAAGCACCACCAAATCAAGCAGCCAATCAGCTTCATTCAGATACTACTGTTAGTACAATGGCGTTATAACACAAATATAATAATGTCACTCGACTATCAATCGATTTCAAACGAATAAAAGATAAGTTAACGTCATAAAACCTCTTGGATAAGGATGTATTGCAGCTGCAGGTGAGAGTTCATTACTGGAACCACTTTGACATGCTTGTGCCAAACCGTGAAAATCAAATTTATATGCGTAACGCTTGCCGTGAACCTTAACAACTTTCACTTCCTATTAAATCACATCTAATCATCCGCAATAATTTTATCCGCTACGACAAATATTCGATTAAGTTTACTGACAAAAGCACTGTACTCAGTTCAAATTATTATTATTTTCATTATTGTTATCCTTATATTTTCATCATTATTATTATTACTATAATCGACACCAATCAACAAACATCGCTCACCTTTGTCATAATATTCTTATCGTAATAATAACGCAGCGCACGACTCAATTTGTCATAATTCATATTCGGCTTACTGAAATGCAATCAATTCAGTAACAATTCAGTTCCTTAACAACTCTTACCTCTTACGTTCACCCCATTTACGTGCCACTTCATCTGGATCCAATAATTTGAACTCGCCATTCGCACCTTCCCAAGCTATACAATACGCATTCGTATGCGCATCTGAGAGCAATTCCAATAGAAACTGCCATAGTTGGATCTGTCCACTTCCTTAAATCGTTATCAGAATCGATAGTTATCATTTTATCAACGAATAAGTCATTCGCATCAATCGTGTTCATTGTGTGTGTATTTCTTTTCGTTGATTAAAACAACAAAACTAAAACGCTAAAAGATCCAAACCACTTCAAATCCTCAACGCAATATATCATTACCTTGTGATGGAAATCGAGCCAGTAAAGAGCTGTACGCAACACACTCAGACACTGCTGCAAATTTTAAATTCAACAAACACTCTTATTAATCATTCAATAAAACTAATAATAATAATGTACACTAATTTAAAAAATAATAATAACATCATTATCAACAACCCTAACAATAATAATAATAATAAAACATCCATAAATAGTAGCCGTTACTATTATTATGCTCATATAAATAGCTCTCTAGTTAACTTCTAATCTGTCCATTCACTCACCTACCTATTCATGTTAATCACTTAAAAGCATTTATGCTTTTATTCAGATCACAACCCATTCACTATCAATTAATAGCAATACTACGAAAACATCCACTATCAATTAATGCACCTTAATGCATTGAACCACTCAAATGATAACATGCTCAATATGCTCAAAAGTTTAAACTCGCAAAATGCATTTGTCTCATTCATCGGCTTTCTTTAATCCCATTTCACTTCACTTCATCACCTCAACTCACTCACCCAGAATGCAAACATATGCACATGCACATGCCTCAATTAAACTAAAATTCTTCTCAACAATCAATCCCCTCTTATCTGTTTCATATTACTTAAGCTAGCGGCCGATTGATTCGAAAAGATCACCAAAACAAGATCAAGTGAAAAGTTGACAATGAGAAAATGACCATGAAAGATACTGTTGTAAATTCAACGAACTCAATCAATAATCAATGAAATTCGATCAGTAATCCAGCATCAATCAGCCTATCCCTCCCTCGACACAACAAAAGGCTCCCTTCCCTGTGTTCTTCATCTTCACACCTTTGTCCTTTCAGTGCTCTTAATCAATGCATGCAATCTCCGCTATCAATTTATTTATCTAATTAACTTTTCACATATAAATCTCTTTATGTTAATTCATTCTTTATTATTTATTCAGTTATCAATACAATTTTCATTTATATTCAAATCAGCCGCCACATCAAACCAACCCCAAACCTCATCATTACCATACCCTCATCTGTTCACTAACCAGTCTAATTCTCAAGCCACCCTCGCCTCTACCTTTCAAATCATTTATCACCTTTTATCAGTCCCTCACTCTTTTTGTCCAATGCCAGCTTGCTGTCTCTATCAGTGGTCAAACAACAAACCAAACGAAAGCAAGCCCAGTTCAATTCAGTACAGCCCAGCCAACCAGCGTAGTCTATTCGCTAGTGAACACTCAATCAGCTGTCAACAAATCGCCGTCTTAATGCCAGCCGACTGCTTGAATGAATGTCTCGAATGCGATCAAATACATTTCTAGAATACATCTTAGATATGACTAGACTGAATAAAACTTTAAGTAAACACACTCACAAACGATTTACGAAAGAATTTCACTTGTAGCCGCGATAAGCCATTTCACTTCAAACAAACTATTCATACGATAGATACTTACTTACTTACTTGATTGCATGACCATACTCAACTCAAATACTCATCACTGTACAAACTCCAAATCAATTCGCTCAGATTTGCAGCTAGTAGCTGTCTGTCAACGTAAGTGCTTTGCCTTACCTCCATCCATTCATTCATTCCGCCCGTCCTCACCTCCTTTCCAAGCTCTAATGAACCGTCCCCAGCTTAATACTCACCTAATGCTTCCGTCCACTCGTTACACGAATCAATTCAAACCTTTTAATGCTCACTTCCAATTCAACTTTACTATTCACCTTAACTCTAAAACCTTTCCATTAATATCGATGCATTGCCGCAGCCAATATTATTACTTCAACAAACATTTTAAACGGCAATAATTTCATCGTTAAAGTTGCTCGAATGCATTCATGAATATCTCTACTAGCTCACTAATAATCACAGCAGGTAGCCAACCTACCAGCCCTCTGCTCATAAACTTCTCTCAATAATAACACTAGCAATAATAATAATAATAATAATAATAATAATAATAATCAATATTAAGAATTTCATTATCTGTCGTTGTTTTCCTAGAAACAAGTTTCGTCGACAGAACAAAACAAAAAGGGCTAGAAGAAGAAGGCAAATCACCAAGAAATGATAATATACCAATGATAATCACAATCATAATGACAGAGTGCTATCACCATATCATAACTAGCAAACCTCATTCACTTATTAAATTCACCATGCTATACACATTCACACACAACTATAATAACTTCAAATGCCCAGTCAGCTCCAACTCATCAAAGAATCAATCAATCAATCAATACAAGTTAATACGTATCAAATAAATAAAAAAACAACCAACCCGGTGCAATGAAACGATTTCGATACGAATCATCAACTGTTGTCGCATTACTATGATAGATATTATGATTACTGCTATGAATATGGTTGTTATTCTGTGTATGATAATGTGTGTGATTTGAATGAATATCAGCAGTCGTCGTCCACTGGCTACTAGCTACTGCAGCACGTTGACAAAGATTTTCATACGATGGAGCACCTTTAAACACTTTATATTATGATTGTCATATTACTACTGTAATTAAGAACTGTAAGCAATACTGCTGACAAACTAGACAGAATATAGGTACAAGTATAGAATGGTATACAATAGTAGAGTTTGACTGGGTTTTGCTGCGTTCAGCCACGAGTGGTGGTGACATACTGAGCAATCTGAGTGTAACAAATGTTTGAAAAGCGATTGCGTTAACTGCTTGGCTTGGCTGCTGATTTTTCGGATATCCGTACAGGAAATGCGTTCGCATTGAATTGGAGGAAATGGGTTGCACCAAGGAGCTGGCTGCAGTCAGCAGTCACTTCCTTCATTATTCATCGGGTCAATCAAGGCTGATCACTGATCAAAATGCATGAATACAACAATCACGCTCTTCCGATTGATTCTTGCTTGTCGAAACGAACATTAATCTCACGATCAGCAGCATAACAAACCTTGCACACCACAGACATCAACAACGAGAAAACTTATGCTACGTGAATTAACCAGTGATCAACACTGAAGCAAAGGAACGCCGCCGCATCTAACGGAAACATACGAAAGCAGACGGACGACGGATCAATCGAAAAATCGATTACGAACTGATCCACAGAGCTCTTCTGATCATTTCAACTCACCAAACGTTGAATAGATTTGATCCAGATCACATTTTATGCTTGCTTGAGGAACACTGCTCACCGCAGCAGCAGCAGCAGTACCACTGTTCATTACTGTTGCATTGGCCAGTGCTGTGGCACTTGATTTGACGCTAGTTGAGGCCGTGAAACAAGGCGACGCAATACTTCTAGTCGTGTCCAACAAACCACCACAACCAATCCCGTAATTCATTATCCCCTTTAATCATCATTATCACAAACGTTATGGCCACTGATAAGATGCTATCATCAGCACGATGCGATTCGCACTCAGTGATAACAACCAAAGCAAACGGCACTGATGCATGCACAAACTGATAAATAAACATTAATTCTGATAATTCATTCATCTCAAGTAACATATCGCTTGTCGTCGTCGTCGTCGTATGTATCGTATGAACGAATACCATATCTATGCTATGCACAACACCTAGCTGCTGCACGAATAGACATCGGATCAGACGAGAAGCTGCACAGCAACAACATAACATTAGAGCCAGGCAGGCAGCCTTCATTCATCTGATGAAGAGATAAAGCGCTAAGAAAGTTGGATGCATTCATGGATTTGTTCTTAGGCACACAGACGACGACTGACTGCTAACAGACAGACTGATGAGGAACGAACACGTTTAGATGAAGTGATTGATATGAAGAAGTTAGAGGACTACTCATAAGGATTTATTTATGCTTCCTAGAGATAGCAGCAGCAGCTAACATGCTTAGGCACGGACGGATGGACTTAGAACACTTTCTTTGGCTAAACACAACCCATATCTCATATTCTTATAACTAATCCAACTAGTGAATTTTCTGTTCAGGCTGATTTTCTTTATCACTAACGTCATTATCTCAGTTATATTGCCGACCACTGCATCAGCATTCATTCATTCACTTTATCAATATCCACTCCAGATCACATCCACCTCATATTCTTCTTACCTACCAACTCATCTATAAATCCGTTTCTGTATCGCTAGCTCACTTGGTGACAGCCGATTATTCCAGCCAGCTGACTGACTGACCAACTGTTAATTAAATGCTCGTCAAACTGGACAATTAAAACGTTTAGGCTTAGACCAGGCTCAGCCAAGCCAAGCCAACCTACCGTATTGATTCTTCACTTATCTTGACCGTTCGCTTGCTCAACAACAACCAATGCAAATGCTCATTCAGCAGCACTTTACACACAACCTACCTGTTCTCTATGAATTTACAAAACAAATAAACAATCCTTACTTTCATAGTTTTTCAACATCACTGTTCCAATTACTTTTTTCGACGAGACCGTTATTACTTCTCTTGATAGACAAACACTCAGATAGATATATATCTATCGTTTCAATGAATCCTTCTTCACCAAACAATTTCTCCATCGTATTTTCCAAGAGACTTCTAAAAAATACGCTGTTGACCAACTCAGGCTCCTATTGCTATTATTCACTCACCGACCCCATGTTTCTACTTGTATCTAATTACCTGAACACAATTTTATCAACATATAAAGAATGAATAAAACTGATACACTTTTTTATACTTTACAAATTATTTCACGAGCACATTAACAAACCCAATTAGATAATACAAAAATTATTTGGTCATTCTTATGAGCTTATAAATAGGCTTAGGCTTTAACTTATTGCTTTGAGCATATCTTTCAACAACAACAACAACAGTAATTATCACAAAAACGATGACAATAACATAATAATATCAGTTTGTGATAACAATAAAGACATCATTACATACAAGTTAACAAATGAATATAATCATCTACACTGCTCAGTCGATACAATTAACGGCTTCATATCAAGCTAATCCAAGCCGTAACTCACTCGCATTCAGAGACTTCTTTTAAGAGCCACAACATGAGCACCTCAGGCTTAGGCTCAGACAAACCAATCAGCATTCCTTTAAAGTGTTTCAATTGCTGTAAGCAACATCTAACTAATACTTACTTCTGATCATCACTCAACAACTCATCCATATTATCTGTTGCTGAGGAGGCACGTTTGAATGAGTAATCGTGTTCATTTGCTTCAGATGATAATTTTTGTGCTGAATGCAATGTCGTCTTGTTTCGCTTCATTCCCATTCCGAACGCCTCTCGAATACGCATCAGACACAGCTTGGCCGCATCACGGCACTCCTCTGACATCAATGTAAAATTCAAAAAGCCGTGCGGCAAACTCTCCAACAGGTCCAGCCCACCAACTCGACCATCACTCGCACGTACTTTACGCGCAAACTCAATCGTATCGTCGAGTAGTGGATCCATATGGCATGCCTTTATAAGTATTAATTATAGTAACAACAATAACAACAATAATCATAATAATAAACCTACAATGAACCACATTGGCGGTAACTGTTTCAGTTGCTCAGCAGATGCATATATCGGGGATATCAATGGCTCACGAGGTACATCACGTCTCAACAAGTTTTCCAATTGTGAAGATCCACTCTCCCCTTGATTATATTCAGTCTCGTCGCATCTCTGTTTATAAAACTCTTCTAATCAACTGCCCTTTGTAGCATTTTAATCAACAATTCAACCATATAAATAAATCAACTATCAAATAAGTGAATAATCAAGACTAACATTACTATCTCCACAGCTATCCTTCATCGCACCAAATCCATCCACTTTAATTTGTTCCACATTATCGCAATTACCATTATTATTACTACCATTACCATTATTATTACTGTTATAATTATCATGATGACGATGAGCATTGTTGCGTCGTAACACTCCAAAAAGCTTGTTGCTTGTACGATCCAGTTTTAACTTATCATTATTATTGTGAATATTAATATCACCATTATTATAAACATTATCAATACCATAATCATCTCCATTAATATCACGTGCAGCATCATCAGTTTTATCGTCGCCACTGTCTTCCACAACAGTAGTATTAACCACATTCTGATTACCATTATTATCAGCCTCAATTTGAGTTTCTTTGCGATGGAACCAGTTCGAGATGTTGTCAATAGCGAGCGCAGTCAAATGCGCTGTTCGCGTCCTCATCACAAATTTTTTTGCTGTTAAGTTTAAACTTAAATCATCCCGTTTAACAGCGTGCACATCATCGTGCTCCTCACCATGGCGGCCCTCTTCCCCTTGTGTTACCTTAACAATTATAACAACAACAATTTTTTAATAATATAAAACTGTAAACTTACAATAATAATAATAATAATAGTAATAATAATAAATAAATAAAATCGTACTTCTTGATTATCTGCTGTTGTAGACGAACCTTGTTGGGGACCACTCTCAACTGCATCCACACTTGTAGCATTATTATTATTATTAATATTATTACTATTATTCATATTAAAATTATCCTCCAGATCAGCATTAACTTCACTCGTTTCATTGCTGTCATCTGCATCGTCCCCCTCCATAACAGATCCGTTTTTATTTATAATCGTCAGCGAGCTAAATTACGCGAAAACATTTAAATCAAATAAAATAAATTAACCACCTTTATTAAATGCATTTTTATAATATACTGATTATATTTAAAATATATTACAAGCAAAAACTAACTGTTTTGTAAGTTGATGTGAGCGCAAATAGCGAATTAATTTACGGTGATATGGACTTGACGATGAAATATGAATGCTTAACGGATCAGTTGCTTTATTTTGAACTTCGCTCACGCCCTCACTATCCTAAACAATAGTAATTTGAAACGAATAAACTGAATGACAGTTTCGATACAATTAACGAGAAGGATGTCAGTCACTTCATCGAATAAGATGTCGAATCGAATGAATTAAGTGCTCAAACTAAATCTACAAATAAAGTATTCATTACAAAATCGCATCCTACTGTCGAGTACTGATTCAATTTCGTTTTGCTACAATTGATGAGAGAAATATTATTACTTTTGGGATTGTTTCTTGTGGTCGTTGTTGTTGTGTTGTTAGTTGGTCGATTCGAGTCGGTGGTTGTGCGTCGGAGGGCGATTGTAACGGTGACGGGAACGGACTCGATGATGCAACTGATTCGCTTTCAGATGACTCGGATAGTGACGACGATGTGGCTTGAGATGCTGCTGCTGCTGCTGACAGACCAGTAGAAAGAGTAGCTGAGCGAGGAGTTGTTGTCGCTAATGCTGCTGTTCCATCTGGTGGCGTTCCAGCAAGATTCAGCAATGAGACGATCGACGACGAACAGCCCTTCAATGCACCTACTCTTACACGCTCTATTAACCGCTCTGAGAGGCTCTTCATAGTTCTTCTACCACGATTCGCAACTCTATCGCAATTCGTACTTTCACCGCAATTTGCACTCCTACCGCGATTCGCAACTCTATCGCAATTCGTGCCTTCATCGCAATTCGCACTCCTTTCGCGATTCGAACCTCTATCGCAGTATACACTGTGGCGATTCGAACTCTACACCGATCAATTGCACACATCAAACAAACAAAAATCAGATCAAGTCTTGATCTGATCACTCGATCAAATCGTACCAATCGATTATTGCGGTCACTGAACTGCCTGCTCTCTTATGATCATCGATTTGCACGACGCATAATATCAAATAGTAAACAAAAACCGACGGCTTTCAGCTCATTGCACATTAAAAACAACACAACACAACAAACGAAATTATTCAAAATATGACACCTCGAAATTGTGCGCAGTTGATTTTGCTCGATGATCTGCACTAAGCACACCACTACGCATACCATTACGACGTGTCGCTGCAGCTGTTGCTGCAGCTGCAGCTGCAGTCCTTTTTTGCTGAGCTGCACGCTGCACTTGTTCCACATATTCCAATAGACTCTTATGGCGACGATTCGTCTGATCAGTTTTATGATTACCTGATGATGATAATGAAGCAGTAGATGTATTGCAGTTCTTGCAAGAAGCACGCACCGCTGAATTGCTGCTCGTTGACGACTCCGAATCAATTTCATTTGTTTGCCTTGTATAAGCTAAAATCATACCAAAACTAACTATAACGATAACAATAATTAAACAACAAAACATTAACAATAATATACGACTAACCATCAACGCAACGCAAAACAACACCCATATGAAGCAACGGATCCATGAAACTGAGCAAACGTGAAGGTGACGGCAGGTACTACAAATCAACACACAACCATACTTTTCGATAAATGCACCAAACATTTAACTAATCGCATTAAATGCTTCAAATTCGATAGAATAAATACTTCATTTGCTATTTTAATACTTAATACATAAAGCACTGCAATCGAATACTAAAACACTTCAAATATTTTTATGTTCCAATTCAAATCATTCAATAGAATTATTATGATCAACTAACTTGAAATAAAAACGGAGTATAACAAAGCACCAAACCGTCCGGTTTTCGTTTCACATTCAGTTCAATCAGACGTAAATTCACTGACATTATTAAATTACCACCAGCTGAATCACCAACCATGCATAATCGTTCACCTGTCCACCCTACAAAACATTATTATTATTATTATCAAATAAAAACTAAACAAACAAAAAGCACTCACCAAATTCAGACGGATTATTCACGATATATGCGTAAGCATAAAGTACTTCTTCGGTAGGGCGAGGATACGGATTTTCAGGAGCTAAAGAGTAGTCAATCGAGACGACCGGACAATTCAATTGCTTTGCCCACGTTCGCAGATATGTCTGAAAGATCTCTTAATAATTTCACTAAGCAGCTGCTGTTGATTTACACTTAATTGATTACTATTTACGCTGATCATCGATCCTTCACGACATTACTCTAAATTCATTAATTTTGCACAGCTTCTGCATTAATCTATATCAAAAATTAGTTATGAATTTTACAATTTTAAAATATGATCACTATTTAAAGCATTTGCACACTATAAATAACATAGCCCATGCTAAGAATGTTACTAAGCAGCGAAGTATTAAAGAACCTACCTCGTGAGATTTCGATGTGGTTGCCACGTAACCACCACCGTGACAATGAAACAGTAGATATGGCGATAGTGATTCGTGTTGTGCCGTACGGAATTTTGATGACGACGACGACGACGGCGATATGAATGACGTTGATGTGGCTGGCCGATTCTTCAACAATTTAATAATAATAATGACAATAATAAAAATCAGAATCAATCACAAACGCCAAAGCTCACCAATGCTTCACGATGTGCATACGAGAGTACTCGTAATCTCACCGGTCTAACGCCAGTATGTGCTGATGGCTCGGGTATTCGAACCATACCAAAACCCGACTTCTCTTTGCTTGACAAACGACACGAACATGACCGTACACATAATGAACTACCGCTCGCACTCTCAATACCATTATCACTAACGTTATCAGTATTAATATCGTCCTCGTCATTACTACCAATATTAATCTTCTGATTGCTCTGCATCGATATCGGACCAATAAAATTTATCTCCCTCACATCGTTCACCGCCATATTCGGACAGAACAATTGCGATACCTTAAACACAAACTACTTCATCAATCTCATTATCAATTTTAAAGAATCAACCAATCAAAATGTATAAAAACAGGGGGGGGGAGGGGGTCTTACGTGAGCAAGCTCGTACAAGCAAATGCCCATATTATATAAGAGTTACGGTTATGAAATGCTGCTGCCACTGCTATTAATAAAACAATAATAATAATACTCACATTTCCGAGTTCAGACAGATTCCAAAATCCCTTACAGAAATCGATGTCTGCCTCACGTGTCACCTCAAAACAAACTCGATAACATTATTCACAAAATAACAACAAGCCAATATACCACCTTAAGAATGCGTGCCGCCCGTTCCTCAGGACTCACTATGAATCTGCCCGAGCTGATCAGCGAACCGAACGCACTCTGACCCTTCTCCCACGACAAACTATATGTGGCCAATATTACGCCAATGAATCGAAATATTCGACCGATCGATGGAGTGAACTCAATTTTATTATTATTATTATTCGCACCACCAAATCAAAATAATAAAAAACGATAATAATAATAATAATAATAATAATAATAAGAATGCTACCTGAAAACCCAACGGCCTTCCATAGAAACACGACGCATCCAGTGCCTCGATGCTCTTCATTAAACCCTCATATTTCCTATAATCATCTTCCAACGGCGGAAACAGCGAGTCTGTGGCTAACTTCTCTTGTGTTTCTAATACCTTAAATCGATCAAAACAACAACAACATAAATAAAAACAGTAAACAAATAAATAAACACAACAGTAAACAAATAAATAAACAAAAGAACAAATTACCTGTTGAGTGGCCAAGAGAACGAATTTCATTGCGGCACAATAACTCTCCAATTCACGACACAGATACGAAATACGATGAAACGACAGCAGTGAGGCGTGTCGATACTCAGAGCAATCTCTTAGCAGCGATATCAAATGCAACACTATCTGATCACATACACATATCAACGACCTAGAATATCCGAAAAAAATTACAAAAATCAGTCACCTAAAATACCCCCAAAAAATACAAAAAAACATCGACCTGAAATACATCGACCCCCACAAAAAAATTCTCAAAAATCTAAAAGTAATCAAAACAAAACCTAAAAATGAACAACCAAAACAATGCATAAATCGTGCACACACCTGAAGCCGTTTCCAGGTGTCTTTTCATCGTAATCGTATTTTGGTGCGAGTGTTTGCAATTCATGAATCACTCCTGTAGATTATTACTTTTTAAAAACTCTTCTTAATATTCAAATAATACAATAATAATAATAATAACAATAATAATAAATATAACAATAAATCACTCTGAATCGTCGACGAGCATGCCAGTATCTCATTGGATGCCTTCTGCAATCGTTTCATGTAATCACTATTTACTGACTGCTTCATGAAGTATCTCTCATTCTCTTCTGCTAACTGAAAATTCAATTTAATTTTTCAGAAACAACAACAAAAAATAACTAAAATAAAACCTTTTCAAGCAACGCGAATATCGCTGAGCGTTGCACCGATAATTTTGGTCCAAGTTGATTACTATTATTGTTATTACTATCGCTATCGTTATCCATATTACTATTATCAAATTTTCTACGGATACGACCTCGATTCATGTGATATGCACAATAGCGTGAGTATGACTTATTATTAGTTGACGAATGAGTATTAACGGTTTGGTGTCTGCGATCATCACTTGACGATGCGCCCGATGAGGATGCGATCACCGTTTTGATCATATTCATCACGAACTGAAACTTTATTATTATTGTTACTTGGACTTGGATCGAGTGCTTGTTTTGTTACAAACGTTTGATAGCTTGTCCAATGCAGGTAATTATTATTGCTAAGAAAATAAAGATAGATCGAGACGAGATAGATCATTGCACTGATTCAAACAATTCAATTGTACTGCTTTAAAACAATACTGATTACTATGGTTTTAAAATTACTTTTAATCAAATAAATAAATGCATCCTTCAAAAGTCATAATAATAATAACAACAATAAAAATACACAACAACAATATATCAATCACTCAAAACTATATCACATTCACTACCGCAACAAATCAAATAAGTGAATTCACGAATCCAAAACCACATTGGCAACGGGCAAATGGCAAATATCAATGGCAGATGCATCCAAGTCAAACGAATCTCTTAACCAGATAATACTTATTAAAATGCATTCCATCATCTATTTCACAGCAAAACTCACGATGAGATGTCGTCAAAAATTAATCATTATAATCATAACCACAATAATAATATAATAACAAAAATAATAATAATAATAATAACAGCTATTACATAACTTTGTCAATCGATTACAGTTTCGATTTAAGTGCATTCATTTTATGCACAGTGAATGGACTGATCGAGTTCAATACATTCCAAATCTCGCATAAACCTTCTGCACTCACCACATATTGCTGCTGCTGTCCATCATCAACCTGAAATTCGAAAAAAATTCATTTCAGGTCAGTTGCGTTCTACTATCCATCTTCATCTCATCACAATTCAATTCATCCACAAAAAAAATCAAAAAATCGGATCAACTAACATTCTTAATCAAAATTTTCTGCGATACGAATGACTGCCACGCATTCTTGATTGGATCTGACGATAGCGAACTCAATGAAATTGCTTTCGACAGAGCCATTTTCGAGTCCGAATGCTTAGACACACACAACAGCGATGACGACGACGACGACGACGCTTCACAATTTGATTTCATATTATTATTGTCGTCGTCGTCTTCAATGCGCGTCTGCTCCAATCGTAACATATCCACAATTCTCCTTTGAACACCAACTAATAAAACTGAACGATTCACTGTCGTACCGACAGCATTCAATAAAGTGTCCACGACCAGTTGATATACGATTACGAATGGCTGCAAATATTCAATTACCTGCATTGCTCGGGCTATCAAACATTCGTAACGTTGCTGCTGGCTACAATGCCCGCAACGTTTCCGTGCACATTGTTATAGTCTTAATTCACGCCACCCGCTGGCTAGACGAGCAGGCCAACCGAGTAATTAATTAGTTGAGAGACGTGAATACTTTGCATAATTAAACGCAGTCAAATACTAATTCAATATTCAATATTCCGCAGTCAAATACAATAATTAATAATATTACTTGCACATCGAGTAAAAACAATAATACTACTACTACTAATAATAATAACAACAACAATAATATAATAAAAACAACAACAACTAACATGAACCAACTCAGCCAGAAAAGCCACTGACTCGTATTCGTCCTCATAAACGAAAATATTTCTCTGGCTGTCCATCCGCACCAACCCTACCCTCCTGACCACATCCAATGCCCCCTGAAACAACCTCCTGCCCTCATCCCGTCCCGGCACACACACAAATTCATGCTCGAACATCTCCCTCGAACGACTGCAATACAATTAAATAATAATAACCACAAAGCAATCATAACCACAACGAAAACAACTTAACATACCAAAACAATTTCTCTGCGTCTTCATAATGAATTCCATTTTGAACCGTCACAATCGTGCACAATAAACTGATATCAACGAATTCATTATAAACCTTAAATGAACTGGTATTAATAATAATAATAATAATAATAATAACAATACCAAAAAATACCTGATTAGCATAATTCGAAAGGATCACATGGGCAACAGAACGCTCCAAACACTCTCTACTGATAAAACTCTCTTGTGGTACGGGATACCGCACCAGTTCCAACTGAATCTGTTGTGTGCAATCCGTTTGTGACGATCCTAGCCACTTATCTAATCCATTAAACAGATCCGAATGTAATCGCAAATAATATCTGAATAGATCCACTATCATTATAACCGTAAACAAATAAATAATAACAATAACCTCAAATCAGCGTTCACATCAGACTGAATATGAATTCGTTTCTGCAGTTTCCTCGCCAACCCGACGAACTCATTAAGTTTAAGTGATAGATCACTCAACTGAACCTTTCCGGACGAGTGGCTGCACTCAGCCGAGCACACGGCCTCTTGTAACAACTGCAATAAAACGTCGTCGCGTCGATCACAATCAATAAACAACAAAGTAAAAAACCTTCAAAAGGATCACACACGCATACGGCCATATCGACGTTATATTGTTCCGATTATGCACACAAACGATATGATGCCCTAATTTACGCACTTCGGCCTTTTGTTGCGTTGACAACTCGAAATGATCCGATGGCTGAAATAATAACAACAACGATTACTCAACAAACCATCTGAAACAATCACCAAACAACTCACCGTACGAGCGAACGCAGAACGCGGTAACGATTCACGAAAATAGTCTCGGAGTGAGATCGCCTCACCGAACGTCATATAAACACGACCAAATTTCTCATTCATAATGCGAAGTGCTTTCAAAAGACCTCAAAATAAGCAAATAATAAATGAATGCTCACAAAACAATAAAATAACTCTTCACACCTGATGTCGATTCCCTCGGTTTCGGAAAACCCAACAACTCGTACGCGTACAATTTCTCCTCCAATATCTTATCGTAGTTTATCGTTACCGGTACGATTTTCTACAATTAACAAACGAACATTTCCATATTAATAGCGCACAAAAGGAAATAAAAAATATTTCGCTGCAACATAAAAGACATCTATCTAAACTAGACGCATCATATCGCTTACCATATCGAACACTTTGCAACGCAAGAACGGTTCCACGACGACGTTCAATAAGCCGTATTTCGGGTGCAGACTCTTTCCCGAGCGACTTCTCGTGCCCTCCACAAAGAACTCCAACGAATAATCTGCGTTCATCAAATGCCGCTGAACATACTCCGTGAATATCGACCAGTATAATTTATCCTCAAATTTTGTTGCCATTTCAAATCAAATTTTCATCGGTTTCAATGAATGAAAACAATGAAAAATTTCTTTCGTCAATGAATCAATTTGAAATGAATCCGTCAATAAAACAATACAATTTCTCATCGAAACTTCAATAGATACATTAATGCTAAATAATAATAACATAAAAATAATAAAACGAATTACATTGCCAAACATTCTTCTAATAAAGAATGCGCCACATCTGCGCAACGCTTCTCCCATCAATTTCGAGTTCATGAAGTCCATTCCAGCAGCAATTATCGGCAGTGGCATATCCATATCGAAGCACAACAACGACACCAACAGAAAATCCATATACGTCTACAACATCACATATTTTGCCGATGCATTTTTCATTTCTCGATCTCATGCGATCGAGAGTGGCCAAAGCATTAATC